GTGTGTGTGTGTGCATGTGTGTGTATTTGGGTATAAGGAGAGGTGACCAAGTTTATCCAAATAATAAACATATGTAAAGTGCCTGGCACAAAATAATTGCTCAATAAATATGTCTTAAAAACAAAATATATAAATATTAGTTAATATCAATATTCTTATCATACCTTTTAAAACCTAACAGAGGGATGCACAGAGAATCACTTGCATATGGGTGTTTATGTCCCTATTGTAATTCATGACCTACAGAGACAATAGTTCTGCAATGTTGAAAACATGTTTAATAATCTCATCGTAGCTGAACTTTGAAAAGAAAATCAAATTGCTTATGTTTTGTGACATAGTAGCATCAATTTGTCTTGTTCTGATAAACTAAAAATTTATGCACAACTTTTAGTAATTTTTTAGTTTTCCTATACAATGTTTTAATTCTGGTAGGAAAACAAAAACCAGAAACATTTTGTCCAAATATGTATTATACATTAGTTCTATCAAAAATAGTCAAAATATAAAGCTTGTTTTTAAGACAAATTTAGACGATTATCCAGACTTCCATGCAAACTTATCATTGCATAATTTTTTCTTTAGGTATATAGTTTTTGTTGAGTTTTTTCCCTTCATAAATTTAACTAAAAAGAGCACCTTTTACTGATGTAAAAGCAATGTTAATTGATATAACAACAACTCTGTAAAGAAGAAATTACAACAAAAGTCATTTCTTGAAATGAAAATTATTTTTTAAAGTACAGGATGTTCCTAATTCTGGTTTCACAAACGAGAAATATTTTACATGTTTCATTCTTGAGTATAGCATATAAGGAGACTTATAATTTTACTATATCTATAATAACTTACAGATGCCAATGAATTCAGATTTCCATATCAAAACCCAACTTGCTCTTTTTTAATCCTCTAAGTTGACTAATAAAAGGAATGGCAGTTGTAATGTCATATTAAAAATACTAAAAGCTGAGATTTAGATTCTTATTAGTGATTGTAAAAACTTTGCCTTAATCTTGAAAGTGGAAAAGGTCATATTTTGCAGACTGGTGCATATCATATCTCTGAGTAATAAGAATATGTCTTTTCATCACGCTACAGTTTTCTGCTTACCTTTTTATGATGGAAGAAATGTAATTTACTTGTCAGATTGAAATGTGTGATATGAATCCTTACCCTATCTTTTGAACTTGTGTTTCTGAAACACTACATTATAAACAAATAGCATGTTTAATTAAACAACTACTTTACTCCTGAGTAAACAAGAGAGTATAATTATATTAATTTAATAGCAAGCCCTGTGACTAGAATATAAAGAAAACATTTTCAACTCGACAACAAAATATGATTATACTAATTTAAAATCAAACCGCATGGTCAGACTGTAAACAAAATATTTTGTTTCTGTCTGCAAGATATAAAAAAGTTTTCTTTCAAGAGTTAAAACTAATATGACTTACAAAATGTAAGTTTACATTAAAATTTCTTCTTCAACCTACTAATCTGTATGCAAAGCTAAATTTAAAAATCAACAAACAGTTTACTATGATACTAAAAGTTTATTATAAACAATTGTGGTTTTACAAAGGGATTCATTTTTCTTTTGTGTGTGTGACTGACGTTTCACAGGTAAAGCTCAGCAATTCTGAAATATGTTAGTTCAATTCTAAAAAGAATAAAAATATGGTGAGGTAAGTTGAAGTGAATACTATATGTGATTTTATATGTGTATGTGTGTGTATAAAACATATATACTTAAATTTATAATATGCATTATTGTTTGAAAGCCAAATATTAATTTTTCCTCACTTTAAAATACAAAATAATAGATTTGCTATAATGACACAAAGACACTAGATACTGAAGGTTAATCCATCTTTATAAATTTGTAGGAACAGAGAAATATCAAAAATTGGTTTCTGACCTAATCAAAGCCATAAGTTGTTTGTTAAAATATGCATTGCTAGCATCCTAATTATCTCTATTTGTGTTTGTTTAGTTAGATAAACAGATGAAACATTTCTAATCCAGATGTGAGTATCTCAGCGCTGTCATTTACCTTTCAAGGATCATAGAATTTTTTGCTTTTAACACATTCCCTCGAGTACCTACATGTTTTCATTATAAACCAGTAGTTGAGAAAACATGTCAGATGCTAAATTCAAACTCCACCATGCAGGAAACATGGGGAAATGTAACAACTGTTTTGGAAGAAAATGTCTTGAAGTCAACTTACATAAAATCTTAAATGATTTGCCAATGAATTTTAATTAGCATTTACATTACACACAAATTCAAATGCTAAGTAATTTTTGCTCTACTACTATAGGATTAAAATTATTTTTGCCAAATAGACATAAAACTGTAAGCTAAAATGTCTGTGTTCTATAATATAAAATTTTAATAACAAAAATGTAGAATTTGTAATACTGATTTAAGATATGAAACAAAAGGAGTAAAAGTTTAAAGTCTAGAGCACTTAAACCCTTTTAATACTTAACATATTATAGGAAATCTCACACAGAACATGCAGCACTCAATGTAATAATTTATTTTATGAATATTCAAAGTAGACCGAAAACTAAAGAGTTTTTAACAGGTTTACATTTACTAGGGCAAATGAAAATAAAAACTTGAGAATGGTTGTGTAAAGGTTAAAAATTTCAAACTGTATTCTCAGTAAATTATTTCACATCTTTATCAATCAATTATTATTCTTAAATACTAAGAAAATTATATAATACAAGCAATACTGTTAACAAAATGCTATATACAAAGATAGTGCAAGGTGACCAAGCTTATAATGCATAATATCAAACTATTTCATCATACTAATATGACTACATACTTAATAATATATTTCTACTCAATAAAATAGTAAAATGCCATTTGTATATGTGCCTTTGCAAACATTTTTCTTTCACAGAACTTTTCAATTAAATATATGCACTTCTAATTAAATAACAAATACATGTCTAGACATTCATTTTTCAACATTTATTTATTGAATAAAGGCTAAAGTTGGTTAGGCTAGCAGATAAACTAAAATTATGATATTATTTTAACTCACTAACCTCCTTTAATTTACAAACAGGCAATCATATGAAAAATTATAAAATACATTTTAAAATAATTGGAAAATACCAAAATTTCTATATAAGAATTTTCAATAAATGTTATAACCACTATAAACTGATGAATGTACATGAATATAATGCCAATCTTTAATTTCACTTAATAACTAAAATGGCAATTTAAGAATTCATCTAAATGTATAATACACATATCTCTTGATTAAATATGTATAATAAAAGATATTTTGGTCACTAATAAAAATATCAAGGTATAATGCCAATTTTGCATATGCTTATTAATCATGAGAAAATAATTAGAATAGTGATTTCTTACAAAGTAGTATCAATGCAATTAAAATTACTCCCAGTGAAAAAGAAATAATTAATATACATAGCCAGTCTCAAACAGATTTTTGGTATTACTAAAATGTATTGTACAAAATGCTATTTATCACTTGAAATTTTAGACAAAGTGTAAAATAAACACAAAATTTGTATCTATTTCCTTAACACTATCATGAAAACATTAATAGTCTTTTTTGTTTGGAGAGACCTCAACAGCTCATGAGCTGAATGGGTTTTTATAGAAAATTCTCTCATCAGTGAAGTAGATCAGAAAAAGCATGTTTTGTAGTATCATAGCAAAGCTTATACTATGTGTAAAGTTCAACGTCCCAGCAGTCCTTCATAGAAAAATTCTTAAATCTAGGGTTGTCAATTCACTACTTTTTGAGTATTGTAGTCATTTAGAAATATCAGTTAACAATGAAAAAAAAACTTAAAAGCTTTGACTTTTATACTTTATTCCTACAAAACATTTCGCTATTTACTTATTTTACAGTTAATCTCCATGCTAAATCTGAAAGTATGTTCTCAATAGCAACTATAATAAAAGAATTTTGGGATAATGATATTAGACGATAAAAGCAAGGAAAATGCTTATTTGAGGATATAATCTCTTTCATGTATACTAGCTTTAAGTAGAAATGAAGTGAGATAAATCCTTATCCAAAGAATTCCTATAGAATAAAACCTTATCAAAATGTGGTAGAAATCCCTCCTAGACTCCAACCCTTGTTGATGAAGACTTTTTAAATATGAGATATACTGTTCTATGAAATCTGTGTGAATTAATTTTGTAGACAAGAGTTCTTAACCATCTTCAAGCAATCGATGAAAATTTAGAGGCAACCAGGGAATGCAATTAAGTTGGGCCTTGTGACGGACTTCAGGTCTATGGAATTAAGAGATTATTCTGCAGCATCCTCAATAAGATTTCTTTCCTCCCGACTCAATGTATCCAGTAGAAGATGCCAAGGTCCTAAAGATGGCAGAGTCACTTTCAGATCCCTGAATTGGCTAAATGCGGCCAAATGAAAACCTTTACTCTCCATCTGACTTACACTGAAATGTGACAAGAGGGAGTAATAAATCTTAGTAGCATTAAACCACTGAGATTTGGGAAAGGCTAGAAGACTTTTTTTTCATATTCTTCTTCTCCAATATTATGAATAATAAATAAATATAAGGGATAAAAACAAAATCTGGGACTTCAGAGAATGGCAAATGTGGTAACCATACCGGATCTAAATATTGGGGTAGAAATAGCTTCTAGGAACTATAGGATCTCAAGTATTCTGCAATTGGTACCTTCCCCCGTCATATCCTAAATCTGTCATCTTACTATAATAATATTACTATCACTCATCAATAAATATTAAAGCATTATTTTTCCACTGATGTCTTACCATATTCTGAGCATAGTATGAAGAACTTTATGTGAATCAGCTAATTTAATTTTGAAATGATCCGATGAGAGAATTTTAATAATACATTCATTATACAGAGAAAATTGATGCGTTTAAAAGTTAAAATAATCTCACAGCTAATAAGTAATGAATCCAGGATTCAGAAGTTCTTTTGAACTATATTATGGCTATTTGTAATGTATAATATTGCATAGTGTGTACTATTTAGTCCCAACAAATTATTGTTTGAACAAGGATAATTCACTTCAACTACTTTCCTACCTGTGTACTTCTATGTGCACTTTTGTGTTACAGGAAAGGTTGGCAGGAAGGGCTGACCTTGGAAAATATAATTCTGATTTTGTCCCTCATGACTGGAAACCTTTCACCCTGATTGGTCAATATTCGAAAAAATTATTCTTGTATCAAAGGTACATACACAGCAAAGGAAAAGATTATTAATGTTTTGACCCAGAAACCAAATTATTTATTTACGACATATAAATGAGAAAATCCTCCCTGAAGGACTGGAACATTGCTCACTTAAAAGTACCGTTTTAAATAGTATACATGAAATTTGTGTGTTCAGTGTATTTTCTCAGAGCAAAGCCATCTGAAAGCCAAATAATAATCAGAATATTGCTTGGAAAACATAAATTTGGAATGAAGATATTTTTTATGGATGGAATGTCTACTAGCATCAAGTTTAAAAGTCTGAAATTCATTCACAATAGTAATGGTCTTGTCATTGAGACTGAAGTTCACTAAAATAAAATCCCCTTCTCCATCTTGGAAACATGTTTGAATAGGGTTTCCTAACTTGCTTTTGACGTTCTTATATCTGCTTTTTATGGCTAAAATTATTTCTATAAATATGTTAATACCTTCCACTAGTTTAAGTCAAATCCTTCAGCAGAGAAATTACTTTGGTCTTTTCAGCTATTTTGCACGTGTATGCTGATCTGTTTTTTGTTTCTCTTGAAGTTTAACAATCAAAGGGCAATCTCCTCTTATGTCCTTTAGCTCAAACTTATTACTGGTGGTGTTCTCATTATAATCTATAAGGATCAATAAGAATTGAAAAAAAAATTCCAAAATAAGATAGTAAGACACTAAAAAATCTGGCTGCCTATGAAAAATGAGTGACGATAAATAATAGAAACTATTCTCTTTTTCTTTCACTTAGTAGAAGCAACACAGCTACAGGATTCAATTATTATAACATACATCCTGATTGCTAGGGAAAAGCTCCTCAAACTTCTCCATGCCAATTTATAATGGCACCAAACCTTTTAACACAAGAACTGTAGCACTGGAAGATGTGGTCCCAAGTAACTAAAAGCTGGCATACAGTGCCAGGGAAGGACGGTGCTGTAAGTTGCACCTCATCAATGAAAAAGTTAAATTTGTTCAATCCTTATGCTGCCATGGTGCTCTGAACTTCAAGAGCAAATCAGGCAAATGTCAAAAGGAGCACTTTTCCACAAATAGTGTGTGGGTGATAGTAAATGCTATTATAAGGCTAATTAATCCAACATGGTGCTTCAAAACTGGAATGATTCAATCAGAGGGAAACTAATAATTTTATTCTTGCACTATTATTTCTTCATATGTGGAGCCAGAGAGTAGGAAGATGACCAGGAATTCAAACATGGGAGAGCTCTGGATGAACTTAGAAAACCAGCTAGTAGTTTAGAGATTGGAGGATACTGCAGCAAAATATTTTTGTTGTTGTTGTTTGTTGTTTGTTTATTTTTAGTGCTGAAGCAACTTTCTCTGGAGACACACATCATGAGCACTGTAGGGCATGCGGTTCCTCCCCAAATGCCTTTCTGCCTGGGCCCAGCTACTTTTCTTTGAGTTGGAGAACTCATACTTGAAAATCTCTGATTGATAACAGCACATCGATGAGTAGATATCCTTTGGTGCGAAGCGGATGATCACGCCAGTCTTCATTGTATTGACCAGTGAAAAGCCTCTGAAAATAAAAACACAAATAGTACAAGGAAATAGATGATCAGTACAGAAAATGCAACATTTCTTAATAATAAAAATAAAAATTAGGTTACAAAAGCAAAAACAATTTTAAAAGTATATTAATACTGTGTTTGTAATTTTTTAAGTTGTTGAGGCTTTTTACTAATCTGCTAAGTTTACCAAATTTTATTTTTTATTAGTAGGGTTAATTAGTTGATAATAAAATGAAGGAAATTTTATTAAAATAAACATTGCCTATCATGTCACTGTAGAAATTTGGTAAGATCTGCCTACTCAAGCTATTTTGGTAAGGCAAAAAAAAAAAAAAAAGATGTGAACAACTTGTGTATATTTGAACATATATAAAGTTACCCCCCAAATATGATGATTAGAGAAATAAAAAGAATTCAAAATAAAAATGGCCAAGAGTAAATTTTGAAATAAATTATGTCATGGATCCTAAAAATTTAATTGTCTTGTGTTATTCAATACTTAGAATCTGCAACTATAAAAAAATAAGGCACAAGCCAAACTCCTTATCATATAGTTTCACTTGATTCTACTTAATAAACAGTTTCCTATAGTCAACAACCAGCTGAATCATATTTATAAAGATAAGTCAGAAGAAAAACACAATTCTAAAAGAAAAAATATATATACTTTAAAGAAAAGAAAGCTAAATAAATCTTTAATAAAACTATCAACATAAGACATAACTGCTATCTGGCAGAGTTGATAAATGGGGAAAAATTAAAAAGAAATGAAACTTTATTATGTCTCCAATACTAATGAACAAAAGTTTGGGGTACTTAATCCAAAAACTGTGCTGTCAGACAATAACTTTTGGTTAGTGTTTTTTCCCAAAGTCTATAACCTAACAGTATGTGCATAATAAATAAAGGACCATTAAACTTTCCCAGTAACTTTTAAAAATAATCTCAAGCTTGATTATAATGGTAGAGAAAGCTTCCATTTTACAGAATAACTTGTTAGTCCTATGCAATTACATTCTAAGAGACAAGACTGGACTTCCAAGCCCTAAGAAGTCGTTATATATGAGGCTTTACTTCAGTCATTTAACTGCAACTTTGATAAGGACTTTCTTTTCTAAAATCAGAAAATCAAATGGAATAAAGTATTAGCCAAACTTATAATCTTTTCCTTATATTTATGGGAATCATGGTACCTATAATTCATTATTTTAGTGAGACATTTGGTTTGCCTTTACTACTATTAAATGGGGTAATATAAAAACATGATGACCCATTTAAGCTTTTATATTTTTTAATCAGAAAAAGAAAATGCCTAGATTCTGTGAATTACCTGTACTTTTTCATAGGTAGCACCTGTATTGCTGCCACACATCTGTGGAAACACACTATCAGCCAACTGTTAATCAAGGATCACTTCCCTTCAAAGTGACTGATGATCCACTGTTAAAACAGCTTATAAAAATAACTTCTTCGGAAAGGTGCTTCAGGGTTTTCAGACACATCTTACCAGTCCTGCTAGCTTGATGCATATTAGAAAGTTAATTTCTCATTAATATTTAAAGAAGAAATGGCTTCAGAACAAATTTTCAATGATCCGTTACATTTTAGAAATAAAATATTATTGGCATTATTTTCATTCTGATTGCAAGGAATGATAATGTCCAAGATTGGCTTTTAAAACTGTTAATGAGCCCTGGCAATGTGAAAAAGATATGGATTAGGTAGATGTAATGAGATATGATTAAAGGGTGCAGGCACTGAAGGGTGTTGGAGAAATTCTATTCAGAAAGCATATAATTAGTGTCTGATAAAAGTACTTAGTAGATAAGATTTTTGAAGAAGAAAGGTTAAGATAAACACATACTTTATGACAAACCTGCTTAATTTTTCCCCTTTGGTTCTCTTATATACTCAATATTATGTTGAAGTTTCATACATAAATAATGTTTGTCGAATACTTGATGCAATTCTACCAGACAATTAGAATGTTTTAATTGCCAGACATGGAGAGTAGAAAATGTGTTGAAACATCTTATTCCATTTTCAGTGTACATTTCTTTGTTGATTTATGTAATGTAACTAATAATATGTAACCTACCCAGGTTTTAAACAAACAAATGAACTTCTAAAAAGCAAGCTTTCCATAAGTTGCTAAGCAACTCAAAAGGCATATTTTATTAATTTAACAAATAACATTTGGATGACAAATCTTTAAGGAAGGTATCTAACTCCATTTTACCAAAAGTAGAAAATTCAAGTAGGTACCCTTCTGATTTTCCTGTTTCTAAGGCCTCGGGGCTAGACAGAGTTACTTGTTATTTTCAGAGTTATATTTGTCTCATTAAGTAAAACATTTCTTCAATTGTATTAGTTATTAAAATAGAAGTTAGGACCTGGGATTCATAGTGCAGCTCTCCAGAGTTAGAGCTCATGCTTCATTTCCATAACTGAGGGTTTTCCAATCCCAGTACTGTTGACACTTTGGGTAATTTGTGTTGTGGAGGACTGTCCTGTTAATTTTAGGACATTCAGCAATATCTCTATCCTTCATCTACTAGATGCCAGTAATGGTCCTATAGTTACAAAAACTAAAAATGTCTCCAGACATTGCCTGGTAGAGGGAAGAGACAAAATCACCTCAGCTGAGAAACATGACAACTGAATAATGGGTAGATATGTTAAATGTAAAAGACTGTTACAGCTTAGCTGGTGATGAAGATATTTTAAGGTTAGTCACCAACTGTCAATGTCTAACATCCCCATCACAACCAGTAATGAAGACTACAAGAGTAGTATTGATTCCAGTGATACAGCAGCTCTTGTTCTATTCAAGACTAATTTCTTATTTCATCATTTCAATGTAATTTCCATTGCATAAAAATTGGGGAGAAAGGGCCTAATAATGATAGTTCTGGCTATAGCCATTCTCTAGCAATATCACATTTCAAAATCTTTTCTCCTATTGTTTCTTTATCAGTTTTCCCTACACTCAGTAGCTGGGTGGAATCATTAAAAAAATAAAACTCAATTTTAATCATGTCATCCTTTGCTCATAGGGCCACCAGAGGTTTTTGTCACTTCTACTACCACATACAAATTTCTCTACACGGTCTTTAAGTTTTTCTATAATTTACCACCAAATTCCATCTCATCAAACATTGTTCTCATCTTGATTTATACCACACTTACCCCCTCACACAAAAACATCTTGCATATTCCAATCTACATATGTGACATATAAAATACAAATTTGTTTTTGTTTTTTCCATGAAAGTTATCCTAATTATTTTCCACTGTCTCACATTAATGACAATAATGCCATTCTTACAGCAGAAATATAATACTGTAAGAATGGCATTATTGTCATTAATGTGAGACAGTCATTTCTTGAATGCCATCAATATGCCAGGCACCAAATATTACTTTGTAGCTATTTCCATTAATTCATATTTCATTACTTATGCCCAACTAGATTGTAAGTTCCCAGAGGATAGGAACAAGTCTTACTTATATCGCTCTAACACCTCTTAATGATACTAATAAATATGCTTTATATATGATTAGCAATTATAACCTTTCAAATTACTTTCATTATTATTAGGTCATTGGTTTCATATTTTCAATATGTTACAGTCAATGAAGACAAGTCATTAAATGTTCTAGAGAACAGTCCATGGGTTACACAACTGGTGCTCAGTAGAATACACCATTTAATATATGCTGACTGAATTCTGGCTCACAGTTATACAACTCTAAATTTAATTTATCTCCTGGTTACAAAAAGTTCTTAAGGCACTGAAAAACAAAAGTTGTAGTGAACAAGAACTGCTGAATGATGCAGAAGACAAACATAAAAGTGAATTAAGGTTACAATGGTTAAACTACAACAGCAGGAAGAGCAAATATGAGATCTTAGTTTCTGCCTCAAGTTTACAACAATAATTTTAACTCATTTGATAAGGTTTAACTTCTTACCAGAGAAAGTCAAACTATTTTAAAATAAAGCAAAATGGAAAGGAAAAGTCTAACAGAAGGGCTGATAAATTCCCAAATCTAAAAAATCACAGCATTTTGCCCCATATATATGAAGTTCAAGAAAATATCTTCAACAATTCTTAAGGATCCCCCTCACCTGTTTGGGAAAGTTCTTAAATACATAACACCTATGCATCTGTAAAACCACGTATTTATCAACCTCTCAACTGAATTCAGGGAAAAAAAAAAGGTCAAGAGTCAGCTGATTGGAGAACACTCACTAACACCATATGCCTAAAGAGGCAATATCATTTACCTAGCAATTATTTCAAAATTCATTTCAGGCCTACGTGCAAACACTGCCCTAGGTCCTGGAGGGAAACAAAGAGGCTAAACCTCACTGTTGTGATCTTGTTCAGGGAATTCAGAAAAGGACAGGTGGTTGAAAAAAACAAAAAAGATTTGTCTTCAATGGGCTTTTTCTCTCCAACTCCAGCTCTCTCAAATCCCAAATTTAAGAAAGTTTAAAAAAATAAAACAAATAAAGGAAATGCAAAACGAAGAGAAGCAGAAGGGAACAAGTTAAGACCCCACCAGCCACCTGGAAGCAGGAGAAAATAGCTCGCACCGCTATCCCTCACCCACGTGACTGGGCGGAAGTGCAGGAGAGCTGGGGGGCCGGAAATGCAGGGTCCGATGAGCCCGAGGAAGAGTCGCCTCCGGCGGAGAGGGAGACCGGAAGTGCAGCGTCTCCAGGGCGCGGGAGAAATGTCCGTGCTCAGGGCGTGACTCGGGAACTCAGGCCGCACGAGGCCTCCCAGGGGTTTCTCCCACCACCCACAGGGCCGCATCCCACCACAGCAGGCTTTTTGCAAAATAGGGATTTTTGAGCTTCTCCGGAGAGCTTCCAAAGTGTGGCTTGACGTGAGGTTTGTAGGGAACGGTCTGCGATCTTCTCCCTCCGTCTTCACAGGGGAATTTGTGTGTCTCCCCCGCCGCGCGGGGACGGGAACCCACACCTGGCCTCGGGCCT